CATATCGGAGTAAGGGTTTAAGGAGGAAAGAGAGGGGTTTGGAGCAAAAGAAGAACACTTAAAAGGGAGAGAAAGGGAATAAGAAGATGGAGGAATGACAAGTTTGAGAGGGCGAGAATGACAAGTACAGCAAAGGAGATGGGATGACCGAAGCTTTAGCATTCAATTCGAAGGGATTGAGGAAGAAGTACACAGAAGCGGATAGAAAGAGAGTGGGGCAAAAGCTTGAAAGATGTGTTGAGAAATTGGCGGGAAGTGGCAATGGGAATCCCACCCTTTTGCGATCCTTTGGGCTCTCTTTTCTCTCTACTTCTTTTTGCTGGGCTGAACAGAAAAATTCAGCCGTTTTAGGACAAAGTGTTTAGGGTTGCATTTCTAAACTAGTTTTCGAGCCAAGTCAAATGTTTTAGCTTCCGACTTTGAAAAAGTATATTTTATATTTTAACTGAAGTACATATTTATCCCTATTTTGTTTATTTACTAAATTATATTTAAAATAAATATATTTTATTTATAAATTAACAAACCGATACCATTAATTAGTGTACACGGAGTATACATAAATAGGTTCTTGTTTAACTAACTTTATATCCATGGAGTTCAGTCAAAATTCAATTTCTATAAATAACTAAGTACAACAAAACTTTTACACTTGTTCACACTTCTCATTGATGAATATTATCTCATATGAAATCAAATATTGTAAGCGTAAACTTTAAAAGTTTAAAATTTTACAAAAGAATTCGCTAACGGTCATAATAAACGTATTTGATAAATAATTGCTTGAGTAAAAGAATTCTTAGATATTTTTCTAAAATAAAAGAATCAATAAAAAAATAGGATATTGATCCAAAAACATAATATAAAAGACAAGTAAACACACTGACAAAAAAATATCAATCTAGCAAACAATCAAAGTAAGAAGAAAGTAATAAGGAATAGACTCTTTGAATCGTCGTCGACCTACCGTCCCTGGTATACACCACCAACTTAATGTGCTCCTCCTGATGTTTCGAGTCGACTGATGTCAAAGTAATTATCATCATCATTGATGTGGTGGGAGGTGGACTGAAGGGAGATTCGACCATTTTAAAAATCAACTTTCTGTCGTTACACATTGAGGAACAACACCTATAAGAGATTTTAGATTTAAACTTTTATTTTAAAAAATTTGACCAGTAGAGCCACCGCACGCGCCTCACACGCTGCCCCCTTCGTGGGAGCATTGTATTCAGCCTGTAGTGCTTATAGAATTGGACTGAATCGATCTAAATCGATCCAAACCAGACCGAGCTATCTTGAGCTGAGTCGAGCCGAGCCTTGTCAAGTCAAGTCGAGCTGCCATTGACCGACCATTGACTGTTGATTAATTGTTGACAATTGACCGACGTTAACTTTGATCGTTGACCAATAGTTGACTTTTTTTAAAAAGTCATATTTTGAGTTTTTCGACCTTTTTAGTCTGTTTTTGGGTATGTTTTGTCAAATTCGAACTCATTAAACTATTATTCAATGTTTTGACCTCCCGATTCAATCCATTTTTTGCGTTTAAGTTTTTTTTTGGGATGCAATTCGTTTTGTCATCTGTTCAAAATATTATGGGGCGTTGAATTCGATTTCAAGAGCAATCGAATGTAGTTTCAAGGTCGATCGATTTAGCTCGAAGTTGAGGTAAAATTTACTATCTTTTGTGTGTTTTACGGTACATGCTGGTAATTGGTTAATACATGAATGAATACGATTGATCTTGAGATTATAGTTGATTGTTTTAAATTCAAACTGAGTGCGAAAATTAGATAGTAAACTAGATAGGACTCGAATGACTTGTAGAATGAATTAGATGATTGGTAAAAAATTCTAGTGATTAATTGATAAAACAATTAACCTCGAAACCTTAAATTTTGATTATTATCGTTAAAAGTTTTAATGCTTGGAGTACTTGGATGAGAAATGACAAAAATACCCTTAAGATATAAAAAGGACATGGATTACACCTGAGGAAATAACCTGATAACTCAACTTAACCTGATAAAACCACTTATACATCTATTACACTATTGATCTATTTGGAAAGTCCTGGTAATATGTTTATAACCTTAAAAATTGCAAAATAATTAGAATTCCTGATTTCTAAATAAACATCTAAAGACCAATTAGTTGGAAGTACTATATATGACTGAATTGACTGAAATATCCCAAAGTACCTAAACGACCTAAATATCCTCACTACCTAGAATAAATGAATGCATTTGGATAAATTCTAAAAATACCAATAAATATAATGTTGTATCGCCACTAAGGGTGTGTTTGGTTGGGGAATGTGAGATTCCCATGGGAATGGAATCCACATTCCCTCGTTTGGCTGGTTGGGAATGGTATTCCCGGTAATCTTACATTACCAATAGTAGATTTTTTGGGTATATTACCAGGAATGTCATTAATTCTTTTTTCTTAGGTATTGTTGGATTATCGACATTTTAGACTAAAATGCCCTTAAAAAAATCTTTCAAAAATATCCTTATTCTGTCATTGAATAATAAAAAATTCTACGAAGGTTAAATTACAAATTTATCCTTAAACTATTTTAGATTTACAAAAAATATATATATAATTAAAATTTTATATGAAGTTCAAGGGTAAAATAAAATTATAAAATTTTACTCTTTCATTAAACCTTTTTATATTTTCAATTTTGTAAAAAAATTATATAAATTTTATGAATTTAATTTTTTTAAAGAAAATATATAAATATTTTCCAACTTGTTAAAAAACAGATATATAATAAGGACAATTTGGTCAAATATACATTCCAATAATCTTTTATTCTTTTAACCAAACACGGTAATCTTGCATTCCTGCTAAACTAACCAAACACAAAATACAACATTCCCAGTAATCTTATTCTCTGATAATCTTTTATTCTCACTGATAATTTTACATTCCGTAAACCAAACGCACCCTAAAGGTTTTGGAGTATGACCTAAGTATATCCTTTATTCCTGATATTGTTACAATATTTGAATAAAATAAATATTGTATGAATACATGTTTCTCTCCTCGAGATCCATTCAATGATGATTTGGGAATGTGATTTGTTCAACAATATCATGCAGTTGATTATAAGAAATGAATATATGTGAAGTGTCTTTGTCCGAATACTTGGTTTGTACCACGTTATTGAGATATATTTTAGTTTCCACTGAACTTGAAAATCTGACAAGTCGTCATAAATCTTGAATACTACAAATCATTATTTACCCTTATTTAGCTTAATTATTAAAAATTTCTCTTGGATTCAAAATGATTAAAATGCCATGTAGGCTTAATTAATAGGATCAATCCTAATATATCTGAATGTTAAATCCTAAATGATCCTGATGTATCAATTCTCAAAGGTCCAAGTTGAGTCGTTAGTTATTAAACCCCTCTTAATAGTAATCTCGTTTATGAAATTCAAATTGAAATTGACAAAAATTATATGTTCCCTTTCTTATAATTATCAAGTACATCCGAAAAATAAATGGTAGTGTTCTTGATGTGTATATTACACTAGTTGATAGGTTCAACCTATGTTACTCTTAAGCACCTATCTATATGTCTAAGAAAATTGAAGTTTATTTGCATGGACTTGTGACACACACATATATATAGAAGAATAGATATTACAATTAGTTACATGCCTTTTTTGTTACTTGGCATTTGGTCGACAAGAGCAGATATGGAAGAATAAAGAGGGTGGCTAATAATGTATATCTACTTTATTATTCCATCCTAACTAACGAATAACCCCCACCAACCCCGCCGACGCCTCTGCTACTCTGCCTTTCACTTTCGATACATGACCATATGATAAATTTATGTATTTAATAATAAAACCTGTCCATTATTCTTTCCATCGTCTTAAGACTTAATATATTGTTTTAGCCCTCTCATTCTTTATTCTTTGTTATACCGTTCCACTTGAACTTAGGTTGATTACAAAAAGAATATTTTTTTATCCCATAAAAGAAAGAAAAAAACATCCGAATTTAGTTACCATTAAATGATTTTATCTTCATCGACACGATATCAATAATAATAGTTCGTGATAACATAAAAATCCAATGTTATTATAATTTATATACGCTGATAGTTATATTTAAAATTGACCCGACTTTAATAATTCCTATTGAAAACTTTTTCCGATGAATAATAAATTCATATTTAAAGCAGTGCTACCCTTAGTCGAAGGAATTATTAATGTCGTGTATTCATCTTTGCTTTCAAAACCTCCAATTCCGAGTGACCATCTATTATTGGTTTTTTATTTTTAAAAAATGTTAACCACAACTCACAGGATGTGACATGATAATTATTCCAATTATCCTTTAGGCATATGATTTAAAATACAGTTCTCGCTTATGAGAATCAAATTTATTCCAAATCATTTATTTATCTATTTAAAAATATTTACGGAAAAATTAACCATTATTATCGAAGAAAGAATATTTTAATTTAAAGAGAGAAAAAAATGAACGTATATAAAAGTTCAACCCCGCATTAGACATTTTAACAAAGTACAAATATTACTAGTAACTAGTTTGTCTTATGAGTTAAAGATACTATATCCTTTAAGCAAAATCAATGATTTGAATCATAAAGTTTATGAATTGGGCAAATTAAATTGGAAGGATTGTCTTCGCTTCAACAGTACCCAATTCGAATTAGTCGATTATTAAATCGAAAATCGGTGGTTATATAAAAAACAAAGTATAAATTTATATAGAATTAATAACATTTTAAGTTAAAACTATTCACAATGTAGCATTCAAAGCTGTAACCGGATTTTTTTAATTGTATTATCTTTTAGAATAGATATAGTAACACTTTAGGTTAAAACTCATCATAAATTAGTATTAAATTTCTCCTCTGCACAATAAAATTACCGAAATCTTTTTTGTCTATGTAAGTTCAAATTTTAATTAGAGCATTTTTTTATAATATAAGGTGATTATAAGATAAAATTGTTCATAATCTTTTTTAATTATTGACAATGCACACACACTGCAAATATAACCGTTAAAACCCAATAGCTCAAGGGGAGACTTTAGAATATATGGGACACTATTTTTAATAAGTCTAGAACACAGTACTTAAAAAAAATAGATCTATATTATTTTAAAAATAAATTCAAAATATAAACCATAGCTCGGGGATGTAATGTACCAGAAAAGTTAGATACAAAATTTGTCAAAAGTAACATTTTTAAATTTCTATTGTCTAATTGCATCTTCTTCGTCTTCTTTATTCTACTCTTCGCTGTTAAACCCACTTTAAACCTATAGTATAAATGCAGCCTGCTTAGCCAAAAGTTACGATAAATCCAAAAGTTAAGCTAAGCTCTCACAGTCAAAACTGCCATCGAATCGGCCAAAAGTAGTCGAAAGCAGCCAAAGAAACAGAGTCATCTTCCTCCCTCCACCCCCCGCAGTTTACCCCCTTACCTTTTCCCTTTCGCCTTCTTTTTCACCCCCAATCACTATCACCCAAACAACAGTTTTGGGCATTCCGTCCCTCCTTTTTTTACAAAAAGCATCTGTCTCCTTTCTTTCCTTCTCCCTTTCCCAGTGTTATAAACCAATTGTTTCTCTCTCTCTCTTTCTCTCTCTTTTGGTTGGTTGATTCACGTCACAGATCTAATGTACTAGAAAAGAAGCAAGACTAGATGATTTTTTCTTTAAAAAAATGTTTGATCTAGATATTTAAAGGTGTTTGGATTTAGGGTTTTGAACCTATGTTTGGATCGGAAATGGAGTCGAGAATGAAGAAATACAGGCAAGTGAGTCCAGAAAGAGCTAAAGTTTGGACTGAGAAATCACCCAAGTACTATCAGCATAACCGGAAAGTTCCGGTTGTTTATTATCTCTGTAGAAATCGCCAGCTCGAGCATCCTCATTTCATCGAAGTTCCTCTCTCTTCTCCTGATGGACTCTATTTGAGAGGTAATTTTAACTAGACTTTCAAATTTGTTCATTCAGCTACTTTTTTTTCTTGACTGATTGATTTTTAATTTTTGTGCTCTGTAGATGTGATTGAGAAGCTTAATAGTCTGAGAGGCAGACGAATGGCATCCTTGTATTCTTGGTCTTGCAAGAGGTAACAAAAGATTTTTTAAAATAGAATTACAAAGAAATTAAATGCTCTTTGATTGCTGAGAAACCGCGGGAAAATAATAGATATAGTACTTTAAAAAGTAAATGAAAAACAAAGAAGGCTATTTTTTTCCTGTTTATTGATTCCTTAGTTTTTGGAGTATTAATTGTTGCAGAAGCTATAGGAATGGATTTGTATGGCATGATCTTTCTGAAGATGATTTAATACTTCCTGCACATGGAAATGAATACGTTCTCAAGGGCTCCGAACTATTTGAAGAATATAACTCAGGTTAATATCATTTTATGATTAACTTGTATTATATTTAATAGGAGGAGAAAAAGGAAATGTAAGCCTAAAGGGTTAATGCTAGTGAATTTTATGTTCAGATCGCTTTAGTCCAGTTGGGAATAGCAGTAGATTGCAAACTCTGAAGCAATTACCTGAACCACCCTCTTCTTCTAAAAGCCAAGATGATTCTTCGTCCTCTTCCAGTATGAATGGGAAGAGAACAAAGAATTCTCAGGATGATGAACTCTCTTCTCCGATTAACCGTCCAACTCCTGGCTCCTCCGGTGCATCACCGGAATCTAGATATGGAAAGAATTCTTCCTGGGGTTGTTCACTTAGTTTGACTGAGTATAAGGTTTGTAAAAGTGAAGAATTAGCGGATGCTTCAACACAGACTGAGGAAAACACGGACAGACCTAAGACACGGGAAACTTGTTCAAGGGGTATTTCAACTGATGACGGGTCATTAGAACCTGGAGGCAATGAGAATTTCCAGAAACACATCCCTAACCCTCGTGTGAAAGATAATTCAGAGATATGCAGGAATCCAGTTTCTCCACCGTCCATTTCTAGTGCATCATCTACTGGGGGAAAACTGAAACATTGGAATCTCTAATCCGAGCAGATGCAAGTAAAATCAATAGTTTTAGGATTCTTGAAGAGGAAGAAATCCGAATGCCAACCAATGCTAGGCTCAAGGCAACAAGTATGTTGATGCAGTTGATCTCATGTGGGTCATTATCTGTGAAAGACCATAGTTTTGGCTTTGTTCCAACCTATAGGCCTAGGTTTTCCCATTCGAAATTTTCATCACCATTGTTCTCTACTTCAATCATGTTGGGAAAGCTTGACTGCTTATCAGAGAATCCAAGGTTGATGGGCCTGAGATTGAAAGACAAAGAATATTTCAGTGGTAGTTTGGTTGAGACAAAAATGCTCAAACAAGGACATCCCTCTCTGAAACGGTCTTCTTCATATAATGATGATCGGTAAGTTTGTGTATCAATCTATTTGTGTTGGTTTATTAGGGCGAAATGAATGAACTATTTTGCTACCAAATACAAAGCATTTAATTGGTCAAACGTGCTCATGAATCATAATTGTTTACAGTTGTGACCACACTAATTCTATAGTACGGCAATGGGAACATAGTTCAAAATAACTATGAGCTTAGCACACTGAGATTCAGTCCAATTGCTTCAGATCAGATCTTTTAGACCTTTTATATTGGAGAGTCTGAATGCTTATGATTTATGAATGTAGCAAAGACCATGCATCCTCCTCCATGTATGTCTGTAATCATCAATGTAGAATTTGAAAGCGTATATGAATATTCTAGGTAATACTTGCATCTTCTTTGAGAATTGGGCACATAGGCATTGACTGACTGGTTTAGGCTTCTTTAGAATGAAATGTGCTTTGTTTCGTATGTATAATGTAGCGTCAGCTACATTTCTTTTGTAGCTCATGCTAAACTCATGAAACTAAGTTGAATTATAGGACTTGTAAGGAGCTGGAATCAGCTGAAGAAAAAGAAGAGACAAATTCAGAACACACAAAATGCATCCCCCGCTCTATCAAAGCTTCACTAAGCAAGCAGCCAAGGAGCGAGTCAATGAGATCTCCTATTTCTGATAAACCAAGAAACTCCTCTGACGGGATCGACAACCCGCCCTCTGAATCGAGTAACACATCTGCTGTTAGCAGTAGAAGAATGACTGAGCCTGTTGTTAATCACAAGCAATCAAATAGGTTGGATTCATTCAGAGAAGAGGAGCAGGTGATAAAAATTGAAGAAAGTTAAGTATAAATCCCTCCATTAGAACTTTCAGGACGTAAGATCAAGTTTTTTTTTTCCGTATGACTTTTCTTGTTTCATATTGGTTGACTAACACATGGTTTCCCTCAACAGGCTTGCTTCAGGAGCTCGTGTCATAATCCAATCCAAGGCACCTTGTGACACCGTTGTTGGTTGCTCCTAGGGGAGCGGCATGTTAAAGGTAAAGATCAAGCCTTAGATTCTTTATGAGAAATCTCGTTCAATGTAATTCAAATTGGTTTTGAATTTCAAACAGTGATATGTTAGATAATATTGGCGGGGTCAAATATGATGATTCTGTATATCTGAAAAGCTACAAAAAAGAAAGAGAAAGGTTTATATGGCTCCTGATGGAAGGAGTGAATTTTTGGTTCAGCTTTCATATATGAGATTCTTGCTTTTATGTAACTACAGTTGCACTCATGCTTTTTGCATTATTTATTTTACTTTTACCACAAGAAACTGCCCGTTTTTCGTATAACATAGCTAGTAACTACGTTCAAAGGAAATATTGGTCTTGAATGCGAGTCAGGTTGGCTTCCTAGGATGCTGTTACCTTTGAGGCTATGCTTGGAGAATGAGGTACAGTGTTGTGAGCTTAGAATCCTATGTAGTTCAGTTTCTGAGATTAAGAGCCTTTTTTGTTTGTATGTTTGTTTTGGAGAGTAAGGTCAAAGCAAAAAGACTCGAACTTCCACGTAGCTTTGCTGAGTGGGATGGCTCCACATTCGAGCTTCATGCATGTTGTTTTTCTTTAGTGGGGGTGTCGTTATCACTTTGTCAATGCAAAGTGCCTTTATTGTTGAATTTGAAACCAGCAGATTGACCCCAGTATTCTAACATTTGTCAATGCAAGGATTGAGGGGACCAGAGTGTTGAAAATATAACGGTAAAAATGAGGTGTTAGCATTGATTGAATAAATAAACAAATAAATCGGAAAAAGAATCAACAAACATTGTGTCGTGGTAAATCATTGACTTAGAAGTAAATTTGTCTTGATTAGAGTGATCATTGCACTAGACGACTGTGGTATTCCTCTTCTCAGAACAGAACTAAAAAAGAATTGGAGATTTCACCACAAAATACACATACAAATACACTTTTTGCTTAAGAAGAAGAAATCCTTAAACCGATAAAACATAATGAACGCTCACAAGTGTTTATAAGAAACAGACGAAGATTTTAAGTACGAATATGAAAAAATTAACTCCTGAATGTTGATGATTGCTTTCTTGATATTGTTGAAGTCCTGGAACTTGTATTTATAGCCTCTAATAAATTTCTAATCGTTAAAAGTAATTGTGGAAGTAAAAAGAGCACTTGAAGACATGAAACAATAACATTTAAGAATTCAAACAACAAGTATTGATACTTTTAAAAGAAGATTCATACTTTTGAAATTTAATATTACTAATACTATAAGTAAATTATCGATACTTGAAATAAAATATTAATACCTTAGGGATGATATTGATATTCAAATTATTTTTTCTTTACATCAAACTTGAAAATGGTATAATACAAGGATAATGTATCGAAATCTATGAAAAGGTATCAATATTTTCAAAAGAATATGGATACTTTAATTTTTGTTCAAATTTTCAAAAAAACCCAAAGTTTAAAATAATACAAATACCAGTTGAGGATATCTATACATAGGTCCTAATATTAATAGCCATGGAAGGTATCCATATTTTTAGCAATGTATCGATTTTACGTGATAAAAGTGGGAAAAATGTTTCGTAAATTAAAAATGATTATAAATGTTTTGAAAATTGATTTTAAAATATTGTATACATTAGAATTAAGTTAGGCAAACAATAACTAAATACATATCCAAATTGGCATTTAATGCCTAGGCTAATAACAATGAATACTTTTATATGGCATTAATACTTTAATAATAAATAATTTTTTAGATTTGTAGATTCAATTTGAAATATAGAGTATAATTTAGGGATGTAAAGTTGAATATCCCCAAAAAAATTAATTTAATCATGGTTTGCTAATCTGTGAAATAGCCCGTTTGCCAGCAACAAAGAATTCAAAGGCCCAAATTAGAGTAACCTAACAATAGCAAACCCGATAAATGGAAAAGCGCTGCCGAAATTAGGGTAAACTAGCCAATTCTACAGCGCCTCCACTATATAATTTACCCCCGTCCACCTCTTTCGTCATCCTCGTTCGCCGTCAAACCCTAGGGTTTTAATTGCGATTCAGAAAATAAAGAAAGAAGTCCTTTCCATACCTATTCGTTTTGAAGCTTCGCTATCTGGTCAGTGTGGATTCAATCCGTTCCCATATGACTCGTTCCCTTGAAGCGATATTCATTGTGTTGCCCAGTTTTTTTCATCTCCATAAATGTATTTCTCTCGGCTTTAGGGATTACAGTTGGGCAACTATATTTTTAATAATTTGTTTCTGGGAGTCTTCTCATCTGAAGAGCAGTGATGATTTATAACAGACCTGTAATGATTTGCGAATATGATCGCAGATTCTTATGAACATCTAAGGGACTGAATTCTTTTCTGATAAATACGCTCCAAATTTCCTTTTTTTTCCCCCTTCTGGTTTATGTCTAATTGACTGTCTTCTTTTTTTATTTTTTAAAACCCGATCTTAATTATGCTAGAATTTGGGTTTTAGTGATAAAAAAAGGAGCCTGAAACGATTGTTCTCCTTGTCCAATGCCTCTATTATGAGGACGGAGAATTACTTCGACAATTTTAGATTTTAATTCAATCTGGGATTTGATTCCATAATTTATGAAGTTTCTAATAAAATGTGGGTTTGTTTTAACTAATACGATTAAAATTTAACATCGGAATCTTTTTATTGAATAGCGATCATGTTTATAATTTAGATTCCAATTCAATATTTCTTGGAAAGAAATTACATTTCCTGATGAAGTTTTGTTGATAAGATCAAGATTTTGAGATTTTTAAAATTTTAACTTTATAATTTGACAAATTTTATATCTAATCTTAATTTAAGAAAATTTAAAAAAAAAAGAGACTTTAGAAAAAGGAAAAAAGTATACCTAGAGGGTCTTACTCACTAACGTTCACCGTCGAACGTATTATTTTTGTGATCACAAAGTGGAAATCTTTTCATTATAAATTTATGCTGGAAACGTTAGACGCTTCCCTAATTGTAGGGTCAATATCCTTCCACCATCATCATCATTATTATTATCATTATTATTATTGTTTTTATTATTATCATTATTAGTTTTTAATTCTTCTTATTATTATTATCATTCATTATTATTATTATTATTATTATTATTATTATTATTCATTGAATCATAATCGACTCAAGTTTTTCTAATGTTTTTTTTTTAATTTACGATCTCAAATATATTTGAGATATCTCATCTCAAGGTGTTGGGATAAGATGCTCCTCAATCGCCGAGTTGAGTTCTCTGTATACTGTTTTCAAAAACAAAACAAAAAATGAGTTCTCTTTATGCGTAAACATTTAATGTAATATGGTCATGTCTACCTCCACGTATAATTGAAAAAAATTATTATTATTTCAAAATTATAAAGAGTAAATATAATGAACTTTCTTATATCCTATAAATTTGATGTTTCATCAAATCTTTTCTAACATCCTTAAAAAATTATATTTGCAATAGAGATTACGAAAGTTACAAAGATCGTCAAAATTATTATATCTCTTTAATAATTTTGTCCTATATTCTAAAGGTTAAGAAATCTATATTTATAAAATCAAATATTTGATATCAACTAATTTGATTATATAAGAATATTTTTTTAAATAAATTTAATTATAAAATAATAGTTTATATCAAAACTTTAATTTAACAATCAATTATAATTTAAATCAATAAAAATATTAATTAATGTCTATTAGTTATTAAATTATTTATATACTATAATTGATGATTTTTTTTTTTTAAAAAAAAATTAATCGATAGAAACGAAGTGTCCAAAACTCAAGTCCCAAAGTCAAAATCTGTAAGCCATAACCACTCCGCCATTAGCAACCTAAGCAAAGGTCTTCGTTGAGTACAACTTCCCTATATATACACCACGGAAAAGAAACAAACCCCAAATTCGAAAGTTGCAAAAGAAGAAAAAATACAAAACAAAACGATGTCGTGTTCCGTTGCTGTATCTAACTCTCCGGTGTTTTCTTCGTCGTCTTCTCTCTTCTGTAACAAAACGTCGACCCTCTCTCCGTCGGCAGAAGCTCGGAATTTAACGTTGACCCACCTCAAACATTCGTCTTCCCCAGCTTCTCCGTCTGCTTCTCCTTTCAGGCTCCGCCTTCAAAAGCCGCCGCCTTTGTATTTGCTGTCATCTTCTTCTGCGGTTGCTTCATCAACGCCATCGCCTTCCTCGGGTTCCGGCTCATCTGCTAGTCTGGAACCGGGCTCGGTTCCGGCAATTTTGAAGAGGAAGAGGCCGGCGAGGCTGGATATACCGGTTGCGACGCCGGCTATGTGTTTGGGGATGCCGGCGACGCCGTGTGAAACAAGGAGAGAGTTGGAGAGCGAGGGAGATGGATATTCGGTTTATTGTAAAAGAGGGAGGAGAGAAGCCATGGAAGACAGATTCTCAGCTTCTGCCGAACTCCAAGGAAATTCCAAACAGGTAAATTTTACAATTTATAGCATTTTTTAATCTTTGATTTCTTTATCATTTACAATTTTAGAGTTCTGTAATCTTTGATGGACCTATATTAGAGGAATTGTACGACAAGGAGATGTTGAGATATTAAAAAAAACAGATCCAGATTGACCTGTTCCAAAACAACCGGATCTACTTTTGTTTTTGACATAAACAGTGGTGACTGAATTTGAACTGAAATGGATTATTTGGCCTAAAATTCTGAATTTGATTTAGAATGAGTTTCTTAAGTTGGTGAGAGTAATGGTATTACATGATAATTGCAGGCATTTTTTGGTGTTTTTGATGGACATGGAGGAGCTAAAGCTGCAGAATTTACAGCCCAGAAATTGGAGAAGAACATTTTAGATGAGACTGTTAGAATGAAAGACGAAACCACTGTCAAGGAAGCTGTTAAACAAGGTTATTTGAAAACAGATGCTGATTTTTTCAAGGAAGATGCCGCTGGTGGTACATGCTGTGTGACGGCTTTGATTCGAAACAGGAACCTCGTTGTATCTAATGCCGGTGATTGCCGTGCCGTATTGAGCAGAGGTGGTGTAGCTGAAGCTCTCACCTCCGATCACCGACCTTCGAGGGAGGATGAAAGGAACAGAATTCAGAGTTTGGTAAGCGATTTTACGATAAATACATGACCCATGCCAACGAACTTGATAGAACCCCGAGTGATAATAATGCATGGTGTGAATTTGTTCTTTCAGGGTGGCTATGTGGATTTATGCCGTGGTGTTTGGAGAGTTCATGGTTCTCTGGCTGTCTCCAGAGGGATCGGAGATCATCACCTTAAACCGTGGGTGATCGCGGAGCCGGAGACAAAGATTGTTCATATCGAACCCGAATGCGAGTTCTTAATATTAGCCTCTGACGGCTTATGGGACAAGGTATGCGGCCATTTTCATCTTCTTAAGTACTTACAATCTTTACGATGGATGACTTTTCACATGAATATAAATGTACCCTTTCTTCCTTCTGCTTTTCCAGGTTGGTAATCAAGAAGCAGTCGACATAGCTCGACCGTTGTGTACCAGAATCAGTAAATCGCTTCCATTGTCTGCCTGCAAGAAACTCGTCGACCTTTCTGTTTCACGAGGCTCGTTCGATGATATCAGTGTGATGCTGATTCAGTTGGGCCACTATATTTGATTTACCTAAATACCAATTAACTCTTGGGATTGACAGTATATTTAGATCTAATTGTTGGAGGTGTTTCTGAGACAAGTAGAGGTGGAAATGGGTTGTTTTTGTTGAGCGGTAGGGTTTAGTCTTTTTATTGACCATTCTTTGTGGGGACTTTTTATGATTCCCAGCCTCATTGTTTGTATATTTAACATTCATTGACACTTGGAGAGGTAAATTAGGGTATTCTTAAAAATAAAATAAAATAAAAAACTATCAAATTATTTATTTCAATGACGCCATCTCATGAAACGTTTTGATGATTTTTCAAGATCTTCCTTATACTGGTTAATAACTTATTGCCAAAGCATGATTCTACAATTGGTGTATTGAGTTGGTTTTGGATGGAGTCCTTCTTAACATGATTATGTTATATCATTACTTTGTTATATCACATCAATAATTAATAATAACTGTTAGTAAATTAACGGTTTTCATTCCATCAAAAAAAATATTTTTATTTCAGAATGAAATGTAAAGAATTTAAAATTAAAATAATAGTCAAAGTAATTATTTAATTAAATACTAAGGATATTTTTTAATATAACTTTTTTATAATTTTGTGTTTTTTGAATAGGGACATATCGGATTTGACAGTGTTTTTTTAATCAATAAATCTATCAAATCTGTCAAATCTGTCGAAATCTGGGATTTGTGTATGCCGTGGGAATATGGATTTCAAAGAAACTTTCAATGCCGAGTATTGATTTAGATCTTTAAGAATAATTTGTTGTGTTTTATTTTGAGATATATTCAGAGCAATAGAAGGTTTATGATAATGGTTATGTTCAGAAATGAAAACATCATCTTATGTTATAAAAATAAATTTTAAAATTTTATAGATAAAAATAAATTATTAATAATAAAAAAAAATTTAAAACATATAATAATTTAAAATTTTCAATCATCTTCATCAATACCCTTCCCATTCATCCCAATAACGACAGTGTAAATACATTTTGAACCAAATGGAAGAAGTAAGCATCAACTTGTTGACCTGGAATTGAATAAGATCTCGTGGGTCAACTCAGTATATGGATCGTTGACGGTGTCAACCATCGTTCTTCTTCACTGTTCATTCTTTTTTACCATGTCTTAACTATGTGCTGGATTCATCGTACAAAGAGCAACAATCATTAAATGAACCGATAGGATGACAAAAAATTGATGATTCAACATATCTTTATCACAGGAAAGAATAGAAGTATATATTAAACCTAAATCTCGACCAATAAATAACACTCGAGGTTGAGAACGACCAAAAGTCACAACTTCTAAGCACGTTACCAGAGATAAAGGTCTTTGGTACAAGAGCAACTTGATTTTGGTTTGATTGCAATCCTCATCTAATCGTTATAGGTGAGTATTAGATCAAGTCGAGCAAAAAAGAAATAGTATTCGAGTTGAGGAGTCTTATTTAAAATTTTAAGAGTCGAATTGAATTTATAAAACTCGAGTGGAATAATTTGAGTTTCTATTCAAATATAATTGTAACTTTTATTTTTGTATAATATTATGATTCTTAAAATATTTTTAAGTGTCTAAATTATACCTTAAATTGATTTTTGGTGCCTAAAGAATTTTTGCGCTAAAAATAAATGCTTAATATTTTTTTCGTTACAATTTTAGGTGACAATGTTCCAATGTTATGTTGCTTTGCTATGGTTTTAGCGTTTGGGAGTGTTTACGATGTGGTGGCTGGGATTATGCTGTGTTGTGGCTCCTCCTAGCATCGTTTTTTCGCATACTTTGGTGGCATTACTTTGAAACAGAGCGTAAGAGTAGCGCAGTATCATGTTTAGCTCTTGTGTCGGTTTTGCGCTGCTTGAGATTGCGGTTTTGTGAGAGAGTGAAGTTTAACGTTTTTCTCTTTGAATTTGGTTTTGGGAGTGTTGTGGACCGTTTGTGCAGGTGCTCAGGTAGTATTCGGCCGTTTCCATTAGTTCTTTCTGCTGTACCCTGAGTGCATGGACTAGTGAATTGCTCTTGCGGTTAAGCCTCTTTGGTGTTATATCTATGTGCTTAGAAAGGGCAGTTAATGTGTCTGTAACGGGTGTGGTTAGATTTTGGTGGTTTGTGGCTTGGCGGGCCAGATCTCGGCCCCGATAGTTGCCGTGGGACGAGTTCTTCATCCTTTGTCATATGTCCTGAATTATGATTCTTCTGTGTTTGCCCGGTTTATTGTGGCAAGCGCTCACGCGAGTAATTGTTTAGTCGTGTGTCTATGGTGTACTATTTTCCCTCCCATTAGGTTTAGGTAGGTTTTTTTTAATGAGACTCATGCGTCGCACTCTATTTTGTATTTTGTATGAATCAATAAAATCATACAAGATTACTCCTTTAAAAAAATGTATAAATATACAAATTTATTTAATTGTCACATTAACTCCTTAATCAAATGTTCACGGCATACGACTTGATTGACATACTTTAATAGGTAGATGGTTTGATTGATAGAATTAGAAAATCGATTATCAAAATAAAAAAAGCAATAATTAAATGATGATAGCTATAATTTAACTAAGATCATCTTTTATGAATTCTATTTATAGCGATATTTATAATTTTATATATAGAAAATATTTAAGATTACGTGTAATACTAAAATCATTTATATGGAAAGGAGCAGCATGATGTGGTCACCTAGTAATGTTTAGGATAGTTTTTTAATTGACATTGAGAAGACACATAAAAGATGGAATCTGTTGAAGGCACAAGTTGGTGTGTGGGATATTACACAAACTCCGTTCTTTTATTTTAATTTGACAAATACCATACGCATGTATTCTTATCCATTAAGATATGCTTTGTTGATAAGAAACAAATTCTAATATCACTCATTAAAATTAATCTCTCTTCCTAATATCACTCATTTCAAATATTAAAATTAATATTCATGCATGATATCACTCACGTTAAGTATCATAGATATCATTCACACATAGTATCACACAACATCAAATATCATAAATAATATTCATACGTTATTCGCACAAACATATCAATGGTAGTAAGATATATGATACCACTTAGCATTGAATAATAAATAAGAACGAGTTATCTAGCATCACTTTGCGTTAGAAAATAGATAACAATGGATTACTTGATATTACTTAAGGTCAAATAATAATCATCAATAATATATGATATCATTAAAACAATCAGATATGGATGATAAAGGTGGTACATGGTTTCACTAAAAAAAAATTACTATCATTCACCTATTAGGATACTTTTAAATTAAATTAAATAATATATTATATTCGAATTGATACATATAATTTAAATTATTATTATATTGAAACGCTCTTCTTTGAATGTATTTACTTATGTAAAGTTGAAATGTCTCCGTCTATACTACCATAAAAATGTGTCTACTAATGCAAACATGGAGCCTACCTAGACTCTTAGTAAGCTACAAAGTGTTGAAAGTGATACCTTGTCTCAAGTATAGTTGTCTTCACTAATTGCTATGTTGAATGCCCCCATTCTAGGTGTTCATCGAGCCGTCTTTGCTAAAATTATTTTCAAGGCATTGAAATTCTCCATCAATATGAGGTCGAGTATCTATTTCTCAAACACTTAGTCACTCAAATTAAAAAAAACCGATTCATAATATTATCTCAAAAGGATCATTTTATAACTTTTCTTCAATTATAAGTTATCGTATGATCTTATGGATATGAAATATATAAAATTATGATCTATCTCATGAAAGAGAGATTTCTCATTCAAACTTTATTTTTATTCCTTTTTCATTTTTTTATCGTAAGTAAAATTGTCTGAGTGTCGACACTTTAATCACTTCTGATTCGCATACAACAATAATCTATTTAAATTAAAAAAATGAACAATAAAAAATGTTATAATCTTAAATTTGGGGTATTGTTAGCCCAATGCTTGGTAATGCTAATATTTGGGGTGTAGTTAGGGTGGCAAAGGATAAGGTTGTTTGGCATAGGCTAGTGTGGCATGATTTTCATATCCCTAGACACACTATAATTTCTTGGATGGCCAATTTAAATCGGTTGCCCACGAGAGATAGACTTGCTTCTTTTTGGCCTTCAACTGGAGAGGGAATACGTTTTGTGTGGAGGTGAGCAGGAGAGTGGGGATCACATTTTCTTTGGTTGTCCATTCTCTAAGAATGTGTGGACTGAGGGTTTGAGAACTTGTAATATGCGTCGTGGGATTATGAGTTGGGAGTTGGAATTAGATTGAGAGGTGAGGAGGCTGAAGGGGAAGTCCCTCCTTACAATCGTGCTCCAACTGGCGTGGAATGTAGTAATTTAGATGGTTTGGAATGAGAAAAACCTCATAATTTTCATGGTCGACAGTCTCTTGAGCAGGCTTTGGTTCATCGGATAAGGGAGGCGGTTCAATAGAGTTTGCATGGGAAGGTTGAAGTTCTCAAGACTAGCAATGTTATAAATAGTAGTCTATGTAGAGGCTGGAGATTGATTTAGCTGTTGTTCTTAGTTGTTTTGGGGTAGACTTGGGTTTGCTTTCTATTTATTGTTTTGGTTTTTGTTCGGTATGATATTATTTATTTATCAACAATTATTACCTTCCTGGATAAATAAAATCAATGTATTTATAAAAAAAGTTATAATCTATATTTACAATATTACACATCAACAATTTAAGATTTTTTTTTTGTTAATTTGTTACCTGCAAATCTTGTAATTTTTTTTGGTTACACAAATCTTGTAACTTTGAACATGCTACAAGTATAACAGCACTTGGCAATTAGGTGACCAACACAAAAATAGTCAACACTGAAATGGAAATACTCGTTTCTGGCAAACGCAAGCAGATCGGGTTAGGTGGCAGTGCCATAAATACTCCATACCTCATACTGAATCATTCCACCCCTTTCCAGCACTGCCATTACCTTCAAAATCAGATTAAACGTTGATTAAAACAAAAGTCAAATAAAAACGTTGACCTAGTGGTTTGGTTGCTGTGAGCTGGCGTTTCCCCCGCCCATGCGTTCTCATTAGTACACACCCACACTCCCCTTTTTATCCCAAGGTCGCGACCGGACCAACCAACACCTATCCAAAGTCTCTGCCTTTACCTGCAAGTGTTTCCCTTTCCATTTCGTCTTGGCCTTTCTCCTCAGCGATTCAGTTACCGTTTGAATTACTTTTCTGGGTTCTTGAAATTGAGTGTCGTTTCGTTACATGTTTTCTTGCTCAGATGTTTTAGAT